GTCTATGAAATGATTGTCGGTGAAATGATACGGATCCAATTAAAGAATGACGCAAGTCAATTCAAATCGACCTAAATTTAGGATACGACGCAGAGCAAATACAATCTTTTGTATGCTCACATTTATTTTAAATATGAAATTGATTATATTTGATTAATTATTAATCTATAGATATAACGCACGAACACTATATATTATGATGTATCTCAATCAGTAGAGCATGACTATCCTCATGCACTTGAATTTTTGAGAAAGGATTGTACAAATGTTACAGATTATTTTAAGAAAAAAGGAGTGAGAGTGATGTGTATCAAGGAATTATTTGATTTTATTACCGATATTAACATTAGTATGGAGGAAGAAGAATTATAAAAGGTAGGATTTCGGTAGTCTTAGAAATGCACAATTTCCTATATATTAACATATATGATATTTAGATTCAGGAGCGATTAGAATCACAACAATCAATTGAAACTTTAACGATGAGCCAACAAGAACAACTACAAAGAGATCTTTTATTCCAAGAAAGTTAGATGATGTTATAGATGTTGAAAGAGATATAATGAAAGTAGCTCAAGGTGAAGGAGAAAATGTAAGCGATACATTTTAGTTATTTATATTTCTTATAAAGTCATTAGTTATTAACACATTTATTAAATATTTCAACTATTAGTTTGATTTACCAAAAGCTCACTGAACTTTCTATTGATGAAAAAAAGCACAATCAAATGATAATATCAGGATAGAAAGTGAAAATCAAGCTACCATAGTTTTAAAAGAGATTACACGAGAAATGAATGATCAGAAAGAATCAGAGAATGAAGATCAAGATGATTTAGAGGATATTGAATCTGGTGACGACAGTAAGCAATATTCAAATGATAAAGATGAAGAATTGATATTTAAGAAGCAACGATAAAGATGTCAATAAAGGTTGCATAAGTATTTGTGTTGTCAGATGACAAAAATTTTAAATGTTAATGAGAGTTTTTTTTTGATTATAGGAGCGAAAGAAAATAGCTAAAGAAGAGGCAAGAGAAAAACGTAAGCATAAATTACCTAAAG